ACCCTTTTGTAGCTGGGCTTCACCACAGATCCCTACCGTCGTCGTGGGGGCCCTGTGAAGGTAACTGGGCTTCCTGCTGAGAAAAATCTTTAATCAGCTTACAATGACTCTGGTGGATCCAAGTGTCTCTCTCCTGGATCTTCACAGCGGTTGGAGTTGCTAGTTGCACAATGTAGGGTCCTTCACACCTAGAAGATGCCCAATTTTCCCCTTGATGATTTTAATCAGCACTCGGTCTCCAGGCTTCAGGCCTTCCTGTGGGGAAACCAAAGGAGCTCTGGGCAGATTACATGTTCTTCGCAACATGTGAGACATGCTCTGCAAAAATTTTTAAAGTAGTTATTTAATCCTGCAGTTGGATTAAATACTTGTTGTACTATACTCAATATCCCCCCTCTAGAGACATGATAAACTCATGGCTCAAAATAGCTGCTGCTTTCAATCAGAATCAGAAATACTTTGATTATGCCAGGGGGAAATTAATTTTGTTACACGCTTCAGTTATAGTTTTATATATATATATATATATATATATATATATAATTATATATATATATATATATATATATATATATATATATAATTTATATATATATATATAAATATATATATATAAAAAATGAGAATATGGGGGAGCTGTAGTATCCACGGGTCCCCTTTAACCTTGAAGAGTAGGACACTACAGGTATGAGCCTATCACTATGAGACTGTAACAACACAGAGGTCATATAACTTGCTTAACCGTGAACTATTTCGATGCACGGTTTTTGATAATTTTACACAGCTAAGACAGTTGCTGAGAAAAATTCTACTTTTAGCTTTGTGAATTGCTGTCTGCTTCTCTGACATAGCTACTAGTGTGTCATAAAAAAACTTAAGAAAAGCTAAGTCTTTTTTCATAATGTGGAATAATAGTTGAAAAATAGACATGGAGCAGAAATACTAAGCATGTTGCATAAAACACAGAAGGATTTAGTTGCAACACCATTACATGTATTATTCATACAACCTTCATTCCCCCAGCGTGGGGAAAATCGCAATGCCTAATTTTCCATCAAGTCTCACTTTAACAGATAAATGGGGTGAGTTGGTGATATTACTACAAAAACATGCAACCTTGCAACCTTTTTCCTGTTTGAAGGTCTTCTATTTCTATTGCCCTTGACATACATTTCTAGGATGCTTGGTTATTTGCTGATTTTACAAAAATTTGCCTTTTAGATGGTTTTAGCATTTACATTATCTTTAACACAAGTATTACAGGCTCCTGAAACTGCCTGTCCATTAATTGCTAGAACTATTCATGTTTTTGGGAATGAGCCTGAATGTATCACATGTGTGTCAGCTGCTTCTCTGGAGTAACTTACTCCTGCAGCATGTGAATCTTTTCACCACTACCCCTTTTGTCTGTAGGCACCAACACTAATTGCAATTTCCTTAACAAATCTCTGCCTAATACATTAACTGGACAGTCTTGGCTTCACACAAAACCAGCTTCCACCGTTAATCCCTCTTCAGCAGTGACCAATTGTTTTTCCCCTGTGACCACCAGCCCCTCACTTGAGCCCAATCATGGTCCAAACTACACTTCATAGCTTTTTCTATGTTTTAGCTTGCACAATCTACTTATTTAATCCCTCAAATTTTTTTATTCCCTGTATCATAGCTTGCATGACTAAAATATTTTTCTGATGGGTTATTTATTTTTAATATTTTGGTTCCGAAACTAATAATTTTGGAGACCCTGCAGGCGCATTAGGATGGCTGTCAGCTGGATCAATGCTGCAGTCACCGATCCACAGACATACTCCCCCGCTACTGCAGATTCAAGCTGTCTCCCTTTAAACTGTGTTTCATTATCTTTTTGATGCACAAACAACTTAAAAAAACCCACAAACATAACTTTAAAGACAGATACACATAACATTAAAAGACGGACAAACACAACATTAGATCTATTTATTTAATCTTTAATAATAACATATCTACTTTGCGCATGTATTATACCAACACCTCACCATTTGGAGCTCATTTATTTATTTATATATTTATTTATTTATCTATGTATTTATTTTTTTATTTTTGCACTAGTGCTTGTTTTTAGCCAGCACACAACATTTCTCCATTGATCTACTTCCACACACCATGTATTTCATACTCTAACTTCCACTTCTACAAGTATTTTAAATTACTTGCATCAATCTGACACAAACTTTCCATACCCCTTATGATCTTCTCTATACTCTTCCCTGAACCCATCCTTTTTAATTATTTTACCTCCCTGGCTCATTTTAGTTATTTCATCTTTTAGTTCCTCAAACCCATAGCTTTTTAAACTGCATATTCAAGTGTTTATTTTTAGTTGGATCCCGTGCTTCTACAAACTTTTAATCGTAGATTTCAAATTATCTCAACATTTATTTTGACCTTTTCCCATTTTAAAGAATTTAGTCCAGTACAAACACCTAGGGTATTCTATGCATTGGATGTTTATTCAACAGGACAGCACCCAAAAACTGTTGTGGTAATTTCTGCTTCTACCTTTCCAGGTGAGAAATTCTTGCCTCTGCATGCACAAGAGCTGTGCTGTATTAAACCCCTGCTGTTTTAGCATGAAACAACAGAACCTGAAAGGTTCTCACACAGTCACACCTATTTTAAGGCCTATTATATTTTTTTATTTTAACCAACATAGACAAAAAACACCTATCGTTACTTGTACACTTTGGAGTCTCCAACTCCAAAGTGTACAAGTACAAGCCCTCGCACGCACCGGATACCCAGATGCCGTATCTGTCAAAAATCCCTGCTGCGGCAGCTGCAAACCTGAAGAACAACACCTGAAGAACAACACAGAGTCCCATACTCTAAAGCACAGAATACCCAGATGCCATATCCATCAACAAGACTTGGTCTCGTCAAATATTCTTGCGATTACAGTTGTAACTTAAATGGTCCTAGACAAACTTTTGATCAAAAGATTTAGGCCTACCCTTTGTCGTGTAGAATCAGTTCCTCTGGAATCGTCACCAAGATGCCCAGGGCAGGGTTGGACCAAACTGGCCCCGTCCGGCGAAGGGAGGACAATTGGACAATTGGATCTTCACTCCCGGGTTTTAGCACCACAAATGTTGGGTTCATAAATGTAGGTTTGCAAAAGAAGAACTTAAATACACAATAATAGATACAATTTTATAATCATCACTGAATAAACCTAACAGAAACCTGTTGTAATTTCTAGTGTCTGGGACTCTCTTTGCTGCGACTGCTGCTCCACGTTGGCAACCCGGTCGGCATGAACCATCCTCATCCTCTGGGTTTAGACTGAACTATGAGACCACACCATTCTTCACTTTGGTTCAGTTTTCAATAAACGTTTTGAGAAATCTCTTTGTCCACTTTTAATACTGTATCCTTCTGTTCTGAGCTTGACAAATACAAATTGGTCTCTTTGACCAAAATATAGGTTAAGTAGTTAGCAACTTTGAAAAATATTTTGCTGAAGGGCAAACTCCTACATCCAGCACCACTGTCAAAGCTAAGATCTCGTGGAGTTAAATACTCCATAGTAATGTTAGAATGACTCAGGTTATCCTGGATCATTTTGCTTTATTCTATCTCTTCTATCCTGTCCTGCAGTATTTCATTTTAGCTTTATGCTCTCTTTGCTTTTTGTTATGGTAGCTGCATCTGGTCTGGTTCTGTTTGAATGTAAGACCACCATGGACTGAAGCATTAGCTTGGCTGTTTCCATCCATACCTAAGATTACAGATGATAGAATTGGACCTGTTTTTCAGTGTAGTCTTGTATCTTTCCTATACAAAGCTAGGGGTTCAGCTTTTACTGTGACTAACTGGTTGTTCTTTTTCTCATCCTTTGACATGCGAACTGGTCCAGAGCTCATCTTATTTTCTGTTTCTTTCCCAGATAGAGCCACTGTAGATCTAGTTTAATGTTAGCTTTTCTAACATTGCAAGTGATTATAGATTCATGCTCCATCTTCCCATTGATGTCTGCTTCTCACTTCTTCTGAAAGAAGTCCACTTCGACATAGGGCCTCTCTCAATGAACCTGGTTCTAATGAAAGTTTTATTCCTGCAAAAAAGGAGTTTTACCCCTCTATTGTCACTGCATGTGTGTTCGGTGTGAGGGATTGTCGTAGAGGTAACGGCACTGGGTTTCCTTGGATCGAAAGCTTTTAACTTATAAGACTGGATGATCTGATTTAACTATCTTCTTTGTAAATTGCTTTGAGAGGATATGTGATGAAGTGGATTAAATGAATAATGGATTCATTGCCCAAATGCATGTTTCTTTTGTTTTAGTATTTATTTTATCAATCTTTCTGAGGTTAGATCAATGATTTAGTTTTACAGCATGGCAAACATTTTTGATGAAGAAAAAT